CAGAAATACATTCTGCAAAGAAAGAAATGGCAGATTTTTTAAAAAGTTCACAACTTCAACAGAAAATCTTGTGCCATAAGTTTGTGTATGCATTTTGTTGGTCAAGACTTACCACACCCCACCAAAGGGCATCAGCATAGCTGGAGAAACCTGTCTTTCCATCCTCATCAACTGCATCCTTCTCAGCAAGATAAACAAAATAGGACGAAAATATTAATCCCAAGAATCCAATGTACAATGTGGTTATGAGTTCCTATTAAAAGAGAAAGCAAGCAAGTACATACATCACATATATAGTCTATCACTGTAAAACATCATAAACATCTGGGTTGTTTTTTTGTTTGCATCACAGTAGAAAAATTAATACGCTACATTTCAAGTATGAAATTTGCTTCCAGTAAAACAGGTAGTTCAGTGACTTGTTTTCCATTCACATCAGACAGAATTGAAGAAGCCATCATTTATACAAAATCATTTGGACAGCTGAAATGTAGGGTGGGACACCACACAAAACTCTCCTGTTTTATGTCTTGTGAATGGGAATCACTCCATTTAACTGTCCACTCAAAATACTAAATGTTAATACATTTTAAAAATAGTAAAATAGCTTTAAAAACGCACTTTATGGATAGTACACTAAAGTAACAGTTAAGAAATAACAACTATGTCTTGTGATTTTGACCAAATCTAAACAATGAACTTGTATATCTGATATTTAGAATATTTCACTTTCATGTTCAGATAAAATAAAATCTTAAGATAAAATATGTTAGGTAGGTGTGGCCTTTACTTCAGCCCTGAAAAACAAAGATTGTTGGAGGCTAGGCAAGCTTATTAGAAGAGACTTTTGTTGGGGCAAGATACAGTGCTTGTGAATGTACCAGTTTCTCTATAGATTTTTGGATAGGAAAGTCATATGAGAACTTATGTGACTTACATCCAGGATTGTTACAGTCTTCAAGAAAAGCATGCTTGCACATTTAAACAAGTCAAAATGTGTGGTGTCACAGAAGCAAGTATGTGTAAAGTCTATAAGAACAGTGCTACATCGTAATCAAATGAGATATTCGCCTACCTATCAGGAAAATCTAATACCTAATTATGAGTGAAAATAGCTTATTTTAATCACTTGAAGTTTACAATGGTTCAATAGTTAACACATATTGTATTACCTTATTTTCTTTGCACATATTTAGCCATCTTTATTATGAAACATTATAGTACTACATCTTCATTGGCATCCTCCTTAAATTCTTGACAGAGTTATTTTTCTTTCCTTGGATACAAACCAATACAGGAATTAAAATATTTCCATAAGACAAATTTAAAATTAAAACTTGTCTAAGAAGGATTGCCTCTACTTATAAAGCATGTCAGGTTTTCACAGGCATTCTGTAACATTCTACCCATGCTTCTTAAACTGTTTCTGAGGGAAGGTCCAGGTTTTACCATCAAACTTCCTTCAGATTTTTTTCTCACAGAATCACAGAACATTAGGAGTTGGAAGGGATCTCAAAAGATCATCCAGTCCAACCCCCTGCCAGAGCAGGATCACCTAGACTAGGTCACACAAGAACACGTCCAGGCGGGTTTTGAATGTCTCCAGAGAAGGAGACTCCACAACCTCTCTGGGCAGCCTGGTCCAGTGCTCCGAACTCTCCCTTCTTTTCATTTCCTTTTAAGAGCATTCTGGGAAAATGTAATCCTGGTAGCTAGTAACTGCATTTAGGAGCAGGAACTAGACATACTCTTCCTTCCGCTATAGCACTAATTAAAATCTAAGTTCAGCAAGTTTTTAAGCAATCTTGGCACAAAGCAAACTAGGTGTTTTTTCTCTAATCATTTCATAATTACCTAAGCAATGAATTTTGATAGTCTTTAGTTTTGCCCATGGGCAAGTCTTTAAGTCTAAGCCTTAAATTTTTGCAGGCCTGATAGATAAACAAGGCAACTGAAAGATATAAATCTTGGGATTTCAGTAGTTCAGATTTCTACGCTAGTCATCATTCTTTCCTCATCTATTTCTATAATGATAATGGTACACTGTGTACTTGTAGATATGACTTAATTGCTCTGAAAAGTTCCTTGTGTTTACATTTATAGTTGACTATTTGCATTTCTCTAATTTTCCACAACTTTTTTGACTTGCATACACAATATTTTTTTCAATGCAAAACAAAAAATTTTACCACCTAGGACTGTAATGTCTGTGATCCATAGAAAACTACAACAGAAATGGAGACTAATCCTTGTTCCGTGCTTACAAAGAAAACACTCTGCTTTCATCTCTAGTAGATTTGTGACTTTCTTCCAGATCAACAGAAATCTTCTAGCTACACTTGAAGATACATCTCAGATATAGACTTTACATGTTATTGAGGAATGACTATCACTGCTTTCTTTGAATTTTGTCTTAGATGTCAGAATAGGAGAGTGGATGATAACTGGAATACTTCTGTGTTAAGTGCTGATGTTTTGAGAAACAGGCAGAAAAATACGCTTTTCAGAAGCCCTATGCACAGTCTTACAAGATTCCTTTCACATAGGCTGAGACATCAACAGAACTATTCAGGTTATTTCACCATTGGCACCTCTCTGTTCCAGCTTTATTCATCTAAAGACTGAACTCCTGTTAAGTGAAGCCCAGATGCAAATATAATTGCCCCAGACTTATTATAAATATCACTCCATGTTACATATGATTTAAGAGAAAATACTACATGCCTATGTTTAATTTTTAAAAACAATGGCAGCAAACTAGTAATACTGCATTTAAGAAGGACTGCAGAAGATGTTAAAATAATATGTGCCTCAAGAAATATGGATAGAGTGGTGTTTACCAATGCCAAATAGTATGAATTGATACATTATCTCAAAGGAAGGAGCATTTTGTACAAATCAGGCCTTAAAACTTCACATTTATATGAATTTTAATTGATAAGAGCTTAAGAATAAAGAATGATGCCTAATATATATTACTATTTTCAGCAAAGACTATCAGACACATATATGCAAAGGAAACAGCAAGAATAAAAGCCAAATTTGCACAAAGGTAAATTTGAATATTGAGAGACTTAAGTCAACACTTCTTTTAACTTAAAGAAATTTATATTTTCACTTACAATAAGGACCACACAATATGAAATTCAACACTTAGGAAAAATACAAGGAAATCCCAAATCCACAACTCCTTAGTTATTCCCTCCTCAAAGCAGTAGAAGACCTCACAAAGCAAGGTGAGAAATAAGTAAAACAAATTGAGAGGCTTACAAGGTGGAGTTGGATTGACTAACTCCATTTTTCAGTAAGCCGCATGATTTTTCCATGTCTTTCCATCACCACATATGATATTGACTCATGTTTTGTTGCTTTTGGCGAGAAATGCTTGTATAAGCTCAACCTGCTGAAAATAGAAGAGCATCCTAGCCAAATCAGGGCTGAGTGAGCTAATACAGCTATATGTAAAATTCCAAAACACATGGAAATCATTGGTGACAACTTTAGCAAACTCTTCTGGGTCCACAGAGGTCCAAGTGCTTGTTATTTTCACAGGTCATGAAGATGTGAATTTATTTTATCATATTGTTTAAGGCTTTGGTCTCAATTATTTTTCTGAGAGAGTACCAAACTCAACAAATAAATGAGAACCTTGTACTCTGCCTGTAAAGAAAAAGCAACTGAGGTGTTTTTGTTTTGGTTTGGGTTTTTTTTTTTAAACAAAAATTTATTTAAGAGACTGGACAGGAATAAAGGTTCTATTTTCCCTTCTGTTTGGTAGCATGCTAGGCTTTCAGCTACACTTGTCCAATGTCAATACAGAACTGTGTGTTTGATCAGTTTTTTTCATTAATGTGTTAGTGGGTGATCTGCTTTCACAAGTACTACAGATCTGTAGAGTTTTATATAACATCGTAATCACTTCTTTGGATTAGCAGAACTTCAGGTGCATTTATTCATAAATTCACTTCTCCAAGGGTATTTTTTTTTCATTTTAAATCATTGAACTTATTTATGTTTGTGACATTTAAGACTTAAGTGTTATATTTTGAAGATAGTATTTCCAGATTCTTGACTAAAACTCTGAACACCCACAGGAAAAATTCTCTCAAACACCTCTGTCAGTAAGGTTAGTAAACGTTGAGAAAGAGTATTTGGATAGCAGCTCTGCCCCAGCTAGATATCCAAGCAATGTGACCATAGTAAATGAAGACCACACAGACTTGGAGCATTAAAAGTCATCCTCTTGTACAGGAGGAAAGCAGGATTTACACTAGAGCACTTTTGAAAGACTTATTTCAGTTTGGAACTTTGGTGTGCATCAATGCTGCGCAACCATTGTGATATAAAATTTCCTACAGTACTGGAGGAAAAAATAAAAGGAGAAAAAGTAACTTTTAATATTAAATTAATCTTTTGGATTAAGTACCTCCCATTCAATGCCCCAGAACAACAGTTTTCTAAATAGCAAATGAAACAATGTCTGTGTAGAAATCTATAACTATTTGTCAATATCTGCAGAACAAATCTACGCTCATAGAGAGTAGGTTAAAGAACCAACCTTACAAGTGTGATGCAAAGATTTACAAGGCATAGTTTCAGCCCTTCACAGTAGGGTAGGGTAGGGTAGGATAGGGTAGGATAGGGTAGGATAGGATAGGATAGGATAGGATAGGATAGGATAGGATAGGATAGGATATGCAAGATTTAAAGGCTAATGACACAAACTTATTATGTTCATAAAACTAAGTCGGCTTTTCATGAAGAGATTACACGAAGCCTCAAAAAGAAGCCTCTGGCTAGAAATCTTTAAAAGTCTGCACTAAAATATTTAAACTTTTCCTGCTTAATGAACTTTTATACAGAATAACTGTTTCAAAGCTTTAACAGACACATAAGTATTTACAGCCAAGTTTACCTCTGTGATTACACTTTTGAAAAATTATATTTTTACATATTACTATAACAAAGTTGGTATTTTTCTTTATAGAATGGATTAGAAAACTCCTTGTTCAGGCAGATAAAATCGAATTATTTAAATAATTGATTTTTTCTATCGAGAATTTTGCACTAGTATGTGTTTTTCCACAGAAAAACCAAGCTAGGAACACATCTGTGAAGACTGTGGACAGTATTCGCTATATGAAAAGCAGACCATATAAATGCATTTAATAAATTAAACTGGAGGATAACATCAAAGAGTACAACAGTTAATTTCCAAGAAAATACTGATGCTGATACCCTGTTAGCCACTGACCTGAAGTAAAGAGTAGCATTCCCATTATACAAATAGAAAGAAACACATGATGAACTTTAAAATTGTTTTTTCTCTGGCAACAGAAACTGTTCTTTCAAACTAGACTACAATTTGTAGTCCATTAAAAGAATACACTAAAGTAAACAAAATGCTGGGAATCTTTAAAGTACCTGACGATGTATGAAAACAACTGATCCTAATAGTCGCCAAGTGCCACCCTGTCGATCCACATGAAGCATGCGAAGTATCTGGAGAAACCGGATCCCTCTGTAAGAAAAACAGGACATTAAATAGAACTAATGACTGAGAACAATACTGGTCTATCTATATGTAATTGACTATGTTCACTAACATACTGTCAATATTAGAGAAGTGTGATAGCATTGCCCCTGGCTAGGGTTGCATCTTAGACCTGAGGCATCTCAGCAGACAGTATGTCTAGATCACATTTCATTATATTCAAATATATTCATAAATATTGCCTAGGACAACAATTAGTTAAAAGAAAAACAAGCAAACAGAAAAGTCTAAAATACTTGAAAGCATTTTCAAACTTAGAGGAAACTTGCATATTTTACCTGATTATGATTCTCAAATGCTTCCTTTCCAAGCAAAACCAGTGCTTCAAGCTTTGCTAACGTAAACATGAACAAGCTTTTTTCTCTATTTGCTAAAAGCAGAATCTCAATCAAACATCATATTACTGAAGTCCTTTTTCTGTAAGTTATAGAAATCATCAAACTGGAAATAGATACAGTGCTATGTGATTTTAGGAAAATGACTGAAACAAACTCCAAATATTTTCAACTAAAGAAAAATAATTATCTATGTGGGTCTTCAGCAGAACTTTATTCAACAGAAATATTTCATTCTAGTCACCCTTTCGACAATGAACTTTGTTTGCTTACACTCATCTAACAATCTTATCACTGAAGCAGAACAGTGAAGAGCAGGAAAGGTTGGATGTTGAACTCATCTATCTGAAATTTTTTCACTAAAAGTATTTTTAGCTCATTATAGCTATCTTAAAAAAATTGTTGTTTTTTAATTCAAGCTTATTTCAATTCCACTTTGGCTGCATTCTTTTGGGTTACACCAACAGGCAGGTAATTCAGCATAGTGCCATCCTCAGTCACTGAGAAGATATACTGTCTTCTGAAAGACTCAACTTTTCTTTTATTCAGAAAGCAGGTTTTCTGAGCTTTCACAGCGGACAGACGAACTATCAAACGCTTGTCATTTTTTTGGAAAGCACACAGTAACCCTGACTATCAAATCACATGTCAGTGACTGAGTGTATGAATTCCATGTTTTGTTATTTCTTTGATATGCCATTGGAATAATAATTTTAATTAGATAAAAACTTTAAAATAGCCACTTAAAACCTGTTAATTAAAATGAGTTTAAGAAGAATTACAAGACTGCTACATGAGCACCAACAGACTTATGTAATGTAATGGCTCATTAGTTTCTTATGTTCAAAGGGAAAAGAGTTACATGTAACTCCTCTGTACAATTATTAGCCACACCTCTTGATACCTTGACTCAATGGTAGTTCTTGATTTTCCTGTCTCTGTTGTATCTGAGATGGTTACAGCTATGTTACTACCAAGTGCTAACATATATGTTAAAACCTGGCAGTTTTAGAACTAAAGATTTAAAAAACAAGACAGTGAACAAAAAACTCCAGATACACAGTCTCTGAACATGCACAGACCACTTTCTCTGACAAGAGAAAAGAAATTGGTTGGAAGGTAGACCATATTCATCAATTTGGTGAACTTAAAACAGTAAGGACGGAAGGCTATAGAACTGCTGTGAACTGTGCAGTGCTACCAGGTTTCAGTCTCACTGGTGGCTGTAGGAATCAAAATGTCAACCTGTCAGATATGATGGGTCTGGAGCTTGCAACTTTATTCTATAAGAAACCTGTGTGTACCCATGTTTTCTGGGATTGCTGGCATTTAAGGGAGGTCCAAAGAGGATGATAATGGTATGCCTTAAAAGCAACAAAAGCAAAGGCAAGGATATGAGATTCATTCTTGCTTAATTCAAAACCAGCCACTCGCATCACAGTTCTGAGTAAACCTGATGGGACTAAGACTTGCCTGACCCAGGTGGTTTTTCAATGGGGTAATAACAACACTGCAGAGGCACGGGTTGAGTTTCGCTGGCAGAAAGCATTCTGAGTTGTAGGACAGTTACCATATAATTTAACACCAGGTAGGGCTGCACTGAGCCCAAAGCCACCTGGGTTCATATATAATCACACAGTAGACCTTTTCATTAAAGTCCTTCTTACATTTCTTACATGTACTCTCCTTTTCTCCTATATGAGCTGATAAGTCACACTCATGTTGCTTGTGTGAGTCTTTATCAAGTAAAGATTAATGTTCTATGGTAATAGTTGCCTTAAAAACGCTTTATACACATAGTTGCCTCCAGTGTTTGCCTACACAGCTAGACAGTTTAGACAGCACTGTACATTCTCACTTTCCAGTGATTAGTCTGCATTGGAAATCAGAGGCCTGAAACAGAACATGAAGCACATCTTGCAAGTTAAATTAGAAGGAGTGGGAAGTACACTTACTCTGCTTATCATTCCTTTCTTCTATTTACCCACTTTAGATCCCAAAACAAGCTTGCAGTACTTGATGCAAGCTGAACAAACATTGTAGACATCAAACGTTTCTGGTTCATGTATGGTATAAGTTACGATTGCCAAACAAATCCACCAAAGCATAATTACTCTTTAAACAAAGTAATTACTTGTACTCAAAAAGTACCAACTTAAGTGTTGTCTGGATTACTTCTTAAATAAACCAATGTTCTGTAATACTCTCTTGTCTCAGAAAGAGAGCTGTTTGATATTTTATATGGAACATAATGTTTCTTTAGATTTTTCCTCTTGGCTTCAGCATTCACACAATTCTTCACATGCCTCTTTTCTGCATTCTTGTTTCCCAACCAGTGACCAAGCACAGTAACACACAGTCTTCCACTGTTCAGTGTATCCATATAATAACATTTTGTATATTAGGAAAATTACACTTACATCTAATCAGAAATCGGGAAATTAGATATACATCCAATATAGCTGTGTGGTTATGAAGAGCTACAGTCACTAGAAGAACATACCTTATTGCAGAAGTGGCAAACACCTGCCCATTAGATCCTATGCTCAGAACAATAATTGAGGCTACTACCACAATTAGATCTGTTAAAAAAAAAAAAGAATGTATTGAAAGTTAGCTCTCAGCATTAAAGCACACAACAAATCCTGACTGAGAAAAGCACTTTTAAAAAGATATGAAGTTAACTGAGATTTGGTGAGTAGTAAGTTAATGTAATAGTTTCACATCAAAAAAGATACTACAGTTTCTTACATGATTAATTTACTAATGGAAATTTTACTGATCCTAACAGATCAGGCAGCTTACCACAAAAACCAAAAAAGGTACAGGGGTATGTACACCCTAGAAATGAATCCACATTTTGACCCAAGACTCTCGACTCAGGAGAGAAAGTAAGGCTTTGCTTTGGTCAATAATGAAAGGCATACAGACAAGTATCACATGCAGAAACGCACACATACACTTGGTTTAAAAATTGTATCAAAACTGTAAAGCCAAGCTTTCAAAGTTTAGGGAACTGTCACAACTAACATTGCCTATAAAGAATCAGAGTAGTTGGTTTACTTTGTGATACAGTCTTTAATTGTATGAAAAAATAATTTTTTCCAGAGTTCCTTTTTTTCCACAGCTCCACAGTTTACTCAGTTCTGGCATTATACAATGCAAATGATGGATTGTGTGCACAGTGCCAGCATTCCTTATTTTCTCTTATCCTAGTTCAGTGAACAGGTCTATTGCTTTTAATTATTGAACCCTATGCTAACATTATTTTGAGAAGACATTTTTCTAATTTCCTTATGGACATTTCTGTGGTAATCTTCTTAAACAGAAAATAAAGGATAGTATTATAAATGGGTAGCAAATGTACACAAAATGAGGAAAAGTTTTGGTAAATTTTCCTTGCCAGTTTTAAACAAGCGGTACCTTTTTCTTCAGAGCACTTAACATTATATAGCACGTCAAAAAAAAACAGTGCCTGCTGACTTCACTTGCAGCTGTGAGAGCTCAGAACCTCTGTAACCTGACTTCAAAGTCTTCACTTGGACACCCAGAAAATGAGGCACACTTGTGAAAACTGATTTAAATGACTGCCACAGAGTTTCCGTGTGATTCCTAGGCAAGATGCAGGATAGAATCCAACTTCAGAGGCAACAACAGTTGCCTTCCATGAAAGTAACTTTTTTCCCTCTCCTTTAAACATTCTCCTGCATCATTCACAACAAATATTGCAGCAGTTTACAAGCAGCAGTATCCTTCACTCTCTGACCTGGATTATTTTCCAGTATCAGTCTGATTTTTGCTGTAAAAGCAGGATTCCTCTCCAAGGGATAGCACTCAATCAGTTTAAAGACTGTACTACGATAATTGTTCATTTATGAAAATGAAAATAAACATAGGGAGGGATAAGTTAAGGCTACACAAAGAGCTTCCATTTTGGGATAATCTAACTTTTGAGTACCTGACCTGCCCAAATTTTATGCTATTCCTTTATCATGTATGTGTGTGAACATACATTTGTAAACACTCAGAATGTATGGAGGGTTTTCTTTCCGTCCTTTCAGATCTTTGCCTTAAGCAAATGAGGCATCTTATGGCCTTACTAAATTTTCAGACATATACATCCGATGACCAGCACTGAAGGAGGAAAAGACTGAAATGATTTTCAATTGTGTAGTGACATTTGTATTTCATTTGTATGTTCCACTTTCCTGAAAGTGTGCTCTACATGGTAGAGATATTTCAATATTTTCCCCTAAACCTGTTCTTCTATATCTGCTTCTCTCTGTTCCTAGTTTTCATGCCAGTTTCCAATATTTAGGCTTCTCATACTAATCCCAGTTTACTGGCTCAGAAAGTCCTATTTTACACTCCAGGTCTTCAGCATATCCTTCTGCCCTAACACTGCCACTTTTCAATCTCATGTATTTTCAGCACCTTCTTTCTTTCCTTCAACCTCCTGCTTGCTTGTCTGTCTCTTTATACATCCTTTTTTCCAGATCCTTACATCAGCATCCATCCTCCTGTCATTTCACTGAGCCGGTATGTCCCAGTCCACTCCCCTACCCTGCCACTTCCCCTCAGCATCTGAGGCTATTATTTTCCCATTCCATGTGCCCTGGGAAGTTTCAGGAAGAGCACTATAACACCAAAATCAATGGATTTTCTACTTGCAGCCCCAGCATTGCTGCTGAGAGAAATCTGAAATTTGAACTGTGCAGGCTCACTGTAGATTGAATCTCTAAAGAACATAAAAGCATTCTCTAGTAAGGTGTTATAAGCATAAACAAGCTACCAATTTTTCAGAGGCTTGTTAGTCAGTCAGCTTGGAGTTGATTTTCAATGACAATCAAAAAGCTATTTTCTTGTTAAGTTTCAAGTATCTGCTTCAAAGTGTGAAAATGCTAGTGCTTCACCATAAGAAATCACCAGAACTGACTTTTTTCAAGAACAACTTAAATGTTTTGCATTAAATGTCTCCACGAGACTCAAACTGAAGCAAACACTTGGCCTGGAAAATATCAGGATAAAGAGCCAACATTTTTTAAAATATCTCTTTCAACTCTAACAAGCATTAGTATTTAGATTAGCATTACATTAGAATTCATGTCAGTTTTTAAAAAAGAAAGTCAGGGAAGCCGTGGTTATTTTAAAAAATGGAATTACACTAATTTATAGACAACCATATGTGGATATCCTTCTCAAACATTCTGTCTACTCACGTTTGCAAACATGTCTGTACATATGTGAGGTGTAGAGAGACAAAAATGGCATAGCGTCTTCGATATATTATGTGCATAACATGTGTAGATGACATACATAAATCACACTCCCTGTAATTTAGCTTGTGTACTACACAGATCTGAAAACCTACTCCACTGTCCCCGTGGCTTACTCTTATGTTACGAATCTTTGAAAAATTCCAAACAGCTACCAATTAAAAATGAGCTTGCCAGTGAAATATTACTTAGTTATGCATAAACTTCAGCACAGCACATGGCAACACCTATAATGCAGCTTACCTGAGCACTGCTTTTTTTGAGCAAATTGCTGACTTGTTTCTAATGTTCTCACAAGTTTACTTTCTAGGATGCAATTCCCAGCTTTTTTATTAAAGACAATCCTTTCCAAATTTAAAACAATAAAAATATTTCCAACTGTATTTTAATGCTTAGTTGCCATAGTATTTTACATAATGGAAATAGCCCTCAGCTTGCATGTGCATTCTTAGTAGTCTGGAGATAATACAGTGTCTGTAAGGACTTAAACTTAACAGATTATATGTACATCATTGAATATGATTTACATAATATACTTCTTTTGCTGAACTTTTGTGTTCTATCAGCACCTCATAAGTTAGGTTTACACAAGGCAATTAGAGCTTTAAATACCAGGTGCTGATAGTTTTTCGGACCCATATACATAACCAATTAAAGGTGGTCATAAGTAAAGTTTTCTTGTTCTTTGCTTAAGGACAATATGTGATGGACACAAATATGTGTACTTAGGTCTTTACACCAGTAACTTATGACCCCCCTATGTCTTTCAAATGACACACTGTCAAAACCAGGAGAAACAAATGTTAATTCATAAATTGGTTCTTCATGACATTTTCTGCAATAACAACAAAAGGATAAAAGAGGTTGTGAAAGGACATTCTCTTGATTTTGCCTATGCTTCATACTTGCCTTCATAAAAGTCTAATTAGGCTGGGATATTCAGAAGCATTCAGCTCCTAACTTAACCCTAACTGAATTAGTAAGTAATGGAAGCGTTAAGTCAATATTTAGGAAAAGTGTCACTGTAACTGCTGCTACCATGAGCACCGCACACCCTTTAAATATGCTCATTCCGTAAACTAGGAAATGAAGAAGCATGGATGGGCAAAGTGATTTTTCCAGGGATTCTTGCTATGCTGGGAAAAAATTCAATCTATGTCTCCTGACAGGTTTTTTATAGAATTGTCTTTTCTCACATAAATGTAATCACCTGTAATCTGTCTACAAAGCACAGAAAAATTAGGCTAACTTTAGAAAATCTACCTAAGAAATAAAAAAATTTATTCACAAGGTTGAGCTGTTGCATCATTTTCCATTTTAGATAAAACCTTAAAAGACAATTCAAGTAATAGTGTGCCCTATCCTAACATTTACTCCCCCAGTTATAGAAGCTGCATGTTAACATACTATTTTATGCAGCATGGAATGCAACAATGAACTTAAACAAGTTTATAAAAGAAAGTAATAACTGGGCTTGACTATTAAATCTATTTCTAGTAATAAGCACCAAAAAAAATTGTATTTACAATTACGGGG